GACTAATCCTTTCACCTATTCGTCCCCAACTCTTGAAGATATTTGTGGTTTCTTGAAATAACGCCGAGGCATCTTTGATCCCAAAATATAATCGAGGATATGAATGATCTATTTCGTATAGTTCAAAGGAAATTTTAACCTTTTTCCGACATATTTATAACAAAACAGAAAATTTCATTTTTGGTGTGTTGTAACTTGTAAATTGGTCATGAAAGCACTAAATTGGACTACCCCATATGGAACCCCCGTGAAAATGGTATTTTTACTAATGAATCTGCTTGGCAAATTGTTAAGAGACCATGTACCAAAAAAAAAAAAAATTCTTAGCAATCTTTGGCACCACAGTGTACCTTTTAAAATATCTTTTTTAACATGGAGAATATTTAAAAGGCAGGAATGCACAGAACGACACTTTGTTCCATGTTTTTGGAGAAGAGGAAGCAGCAATGCGTATTCAAATCACAAATTAGACTCTAGCCAACATTTTTCATACCTGGTGGAGCATAAAACCAAAGAATGTTATCCATAAAACTTTGTTGAAGATCACCCTTACTATTATATGTTGAGAATTATGGAAACAATGGTGTGCATGTAAATATGGGGGTCAAAGATATTTTCTGCACAATAAGATGAGTTATCAAGCTTTTTGGAATATCAAATTTGTTTTGGCAAAAACAACTGGAAATTTGCAAGACATCAATCACTGGCCAACTTTTTGTTACAAAGTGGAGAAACTCAGACCATATCAGAGATGGAAGCAAGTCATATGGAGTTTTCCACCAGTTGGCTATTTGCATGAAAGTGGAACGGATGGCATTGGTGGAATTGTAAGAGATAGTCTGGGAAACTTGATCATGACTTTTTCCATTTCTGTCAACTGTTATAATAGTAACATGGCTGAGTCTTTGGCAGCTGAGTTTGGTGTAAAATGGTGCTATCCAGTGGCGGAGTCAGAGTTTTAAATAAAGGGGTTCAAAATCTGAAGAAATAGACACATCTACTATATCTACCTAAAAAAATTATTTTAATCATGTACAAATAATATAATTTTCCGCCGAGGGGGTTCGAATGAACCCCTTATTATAAGGTGTGCTCCGCCACTGGTGCTATCATCATGGGTACACTGATTTTATTCTTGAAATTGATTCAATGATCATAGCCAAGATGCTAAACAACAACTCGAGCACAAATTTGAAGCTGAAACAAGTTATTGATATTATTAACATCATCAAGAACAGAGTTGGAATTCAAGTGAGTCATTGTTTTAGACAAGGGAATCAACTTGCAGACTATCTTGCCAGGATGGCTTCTTTCTCTGCCCCCAAAGTCTACTCACGTAGGCGTTCGCTCAACTTCCTAGATAGGCTAAAGGCTTTTTTCTTTTGGATAACGGTTCACTAGTTGCTAATTAAAATACCTCCAATAGCATCACACACACAAAAAAAAAGATATGCCGGAAAATAGCAAGAAGTTGCATATTGCAGTATTTCCATGGCAAGCTTTTGGTCATATGATTCCGGTTTTAGAGTTATCAAAGCTCATAGCTCGTAAGGGTCACAAAATTTCATTCATTTCAACTCCGAAAGCAACGCCGCTTTCAAACGGAACCCATTTTGGAGAAACGATGAATTCCTCTAGCATCTTCCGAATTTCATAGTCGTTGTTCAATCACGACACACATCCGGTGAAACCCAGAGACACAACGGTGAATATGCTAAAATAACTCATTGGAATGTTAAATTTTGATGCAATTGAAAGAACTCAGAAGTATAATTGAAAAGTACAAAATCAGGAGTATAATCTTCGAGAAACTTAGCCTTAGGTTTTTTGAGTCCATCTTGAGCAAGTTTGAGGTACTTGACTTGCTCGTAAGGCAAATCTTTGGTGGTTTATACATTTTCTGATAACTTTTCGATGAAGGGGCAGAGGAATTTTAACAAAACTTAAGTAGGAGGCGAGATTTGGAGGAAGTTTTGGGAGACGGTCATGTTTCTAGAAATAGAAATGAAGGAAATTGTGTGACCCTTTTGAGCTATGAGCTTTAAAAGCTCCAAATATGGAATCATATGGCCCAAAAGCTAGCCATGGAAATACTACAATATCCACAATGACTGATGGAGGTGGATTCATAGCATTTTAAAATCATTTTCTTGGTGGGAAGATATTACGCACCCACGAGTGTGGCACGTAAATCTAGCATGAGTATCATAATTTTAACACAATTACATTTATCAACTTATACTTGACTCTAGCACGTAAATCTAGCATGAGTATGTTTTTACAGAAATGCGACAAATATTTTTAGCCAAAAAGTGTAACCCACACAAAATCATTTATTTATAAGAGAGGGCCAAAGAGCGCACCACACACGTGTCAAATTAATTGATTTATTTAATACTTCATAAAATAATTGAAGTGTACATAAATTGATCTGAAATCACAATTAACGTGTTTGAAAACCCAAGCGTTTCTTCCCATTTCATGCTTTAATCTTTTCATAATTTTGAAGAAAACTTAACAAATTCTCCACATAATTATTTTGCCTTTCCTTGTCACAGAAAAGATCTTTCATCTCTTTAATCTTTTCTCGATAAATAAAACCCTCTTCTTTAACGAGTATCAAATTCAGTGATTCAGCCACTGAGTCACGAGTGAACGACCCGTCTTGATCATTTCTCGGTATCGAATACGCCATCTCCTTCTCCTCCAAAAGCCTAGCATTTATCCCTTGATCAGCCAAAAATGTTAAGAGAACCAATGATTTCTCAAATTGTATTGCCTCGACTACTGAACTCCATCCTGAATGAGTCAAAAATCCACCCACTGAGTCATGACTCAGTATCTTGAGTTGTGGTGCCCAACTCGTGCACACTATTCCTCTTCCCTTTGTTCGTTCTTCAAAACCTTCTGGTAATTGAATAAATTCATCATCGGATTCCCCTCTTTTAGTTCTTAAAACCCAAAAGAATGGAAACCCAGAAAGCTCTAACCCAAGTGATAACTCAGTAAGTTCATTTTGACTCGGTTTTGCCTCGCTACCAAATGCAACGTAAATAACTTTCCCCTTTTCTTGCTTATCAAGCCATAGTTTTATCTCTCTCCATGCATCGCTCTTCGTGCTGTCTTCTTCATATGGAGTTGTCGGAAGTTGACCCACCGGAAAAACTGATTTCCGGTGAATATCTCCGACAACTTTCAACCATTCTGGTTCAAATTCTGAACAGCTCCTCACAAGCAAAAAATCACAGTTTTCAACAGATTTATAGTAACGAACAATATCAGCAATGTTCTCTTCCTCTCCTTTCATGGAAGCTTCAAAGATTCTCGAAACTTCGAAAAACTTGAAAGCAACTGTGGTTTCAAACGGAACCCATTTTGGGGTAACAGTGTATTCCTCCGGCGTCATTCGAATTTCATAATCATTCTTCAATCCCGGCACAGGTCCGATGAAACCCAGAAACGCAGCGATGAATATGCTGAAATATCCGGACGGAATGTTGAATTTTGAAGCAATTGAAGGAACCCAATATGAAATAAAATCAAATAGTATAAAATCAATATCTGAATCTTCGAGAAACTTAGCCATGGATTCTTCGAGTGCATCTTGAGCAAGTTTGAGGTACTTGACTTGCTCATAAGGTAAATCAATGGTGGCTTCTGCATTTTCCGGTAACTTTTCCACGTGGGGCATCGGAAGTTTGACGAAATTGAAAAAGGGAGTAATATTTGGTGGAAGATTTGGGAGACGATCAATGTTTCTAGGAGTCGAAATGAATGAAATTTTATGACCCTTTTGAGCTATAAGCTTTGATAGCTCTAAATACGGAATCATATGACCAAAAGCTAGCCATGGAAATACTGCAATATGCAATTTTTTGCCATTTTCCGCCATTTTTGTATGCTATGTAGAGCTCTGATTCATGGACTTTATAAATTCATGAATCTCAAGATTAGTCCAATTATTAAGATTAAAAAGAATTATTTTTCAACTGCCAATTGTATTTTTTTATTCTTATATTGTCTGGCCGAATCGAATAGTATCAAATTATTTTAATATAGTTGGTTGATTTTTCCAAGAAAAAGATTTAAAAATGTTATCAATCAACCTGCTTTTTGAGTGTCTTTTTAGTAAGGCAAAAGGGTCAAAGTTCAAAGCTCCCACGGTGTGAAATATTTTTCCTTATATTTTGAGATAAAAATGTTTGTTGTTATTCCAAGTTACTATAAATACTCTCAAGAGTTAATAGATTATTTCTCTATCTCAATTTATGTGAAATATTTTACTTTTTGAAAGTCAAACAATTTAAGTTTGACCGAGAATTTGTTCATAAAATATTTAAATTTTTTAAAATAAAATTTATATATTTGTAAACTACATAAAAAGTATTATAAGTCTCAATTATTGATAATTCAAAATATTTAAAAGATATATAAAAAAATTACGGTAAAAAATAGACTTGTTTGAATCTCAAAATTCGAAATGTGTCACATAAAGAGGGAGTAATTTTTTTGTGATGTGCTGTCATATAGGACTAATCCTTTCACCTAAGCGTCCCCAACTCTCGAAGATATTTGTGGTCTCTTGAAATAACGACAAGGCATCTTTGATCCCAAAATATAATCAAGGATATAAATGATCTATTTCGTATATTTCTCAGGTAATTTTGACCTTTTTCCGACATATTTATAACAAAACAGAAAAATTCTTTTTTGGTGTGTTGTAACTTGTAAATTGGTCACGAAAGCTTCTAGTTTGCTTTATTTGGAAAAAAATAATGCATATGGTCAATAATGCACGCAAGATTTTAAAATCATTTAGTGGGTGGAAAATCCAATAAACGATCAATATAAAATTATATCCACTTCAATTATTCTATAAGGACAAATATTTAAATATAGATATTCCAATAGGCTAATTAATTGGACTTTTCTTGAAATTGATAAATTATAATGTTTCGCTAGTTGCAAATTAAAATACCTACCTATAATAGCATCACACAAAAAAAATGACGGAAAATAGCAAAAAGTTGCATATTGCAGTATTTCCATGGCTAGCTTTTGGTCATACGATTCCGTTTTTAGAGCTATCAAAGCTGATAGCTCGTAAGGGTCACAAAATTTCATTTATTTCTACTCCAAAAAACCATTGATCGTCTTCCAAAACTTCCACCAACTCTAGCTCCGTTTTTAAATTTTGTCAAAATTCCTTTGCCCTACGTAGAAAAGTTACCGAAAAATGCAGAAGCCACTATTGATTTACCTTATGAACAAGTAAAGTACCTCAAAATTGCTCAAGATGGACTCAAAGAACCCATTGCTAAGTTTCTCGAAGATTCAGCGCCTGATTTTATAATCTTTGATTTTGCTTCTTATTGGATTCCTTCCATTGCTTCAAAATTCAACATTCCGACAGGTTATTTTAGCATATTCATCGCTGCGGTTCTAGGTTTCACCGGACCTGAGCCAGGATTGAACAATGATTATGAAATTCGGAAGACGCCGGAGGAATACACCGTTCCCCCAAAATGGGTGCCGTTTGAAACCACCGTTGCTTTCAAGCTTTTCGAAGTTTTGAGAATCTTCGAAGCTTCAATGAAAGGAGAGGAAGAGAACGTTTCTGATATTTTTCGTATGTATAAAGGTCTTGGATACTCTGATATTTTGCTTGTGAGGAGTTGTTCGGAATTCGAACCGGAATGGTTGAAAGTTGTCGGAGATATCCACCGGAAACCAGTTTTTCCGGTGGGTCAACTTCCGACAACGCCATATGAAGATGACAGCACAAAAATTGATGCATGGAGAGAGATAAAACTATGGCTTGATGAGCAAGGAAAGGGGAAAGTGATTTACGTGGCATTTGGTAGTGAGGCGAAACCGAGTCAAAACGAACTCACTGAGTTATCACTCGGGCTAGAGCTTTCCGGGTTACCATTTTTTTGGGTATTAAGAACTAAAAGAGGGGAATCCGATGATGAATTAATTCAATTGCCAGAAGGGTTCGAAGATCGAACAAAGGGAAGGGGAATTGTGTGCACGAGTTGGGTCCCACAACTTAAGATATTGAGTCATGACTCAGTGGGTGGATTTTTGACTCATTCGGGATGGAGTTCAGTAGTCGAGGCAATACAATTTGAGAAGCCATTGGTTCTTTTAACATTTTTGGCTGATCAAGGGATAAATGCTAGGTTATTAGAGGAGAAGAAGATGGCATACTTGATACCGAGAGATGATCGTGATGGGTCGTTCACTCGTGACTCAGTGGCTGAGTCACTGAGTTTGGTACTCACTGAAAAAGAGGGTGAGATTTATCGAGAAAAGATTAAAGAGGCGAAAAATCTTTTTTGTGATGACAGAAGACAAAATGATTATGTGGAGAGTTTATTAAGTTATCTTCAAAATTATAAAAAGGACTAAAATATGAAATAGGAAGAAAAACTTGAGTTTAAATGAACCTTTAATTGGTTGTAATTTCTGGTTCATTTATGTACACTTATTTTATATATGGTATTAATTGTCTGCACCAATAAGGACTTTTAATTTTTATTAATTCATGTACCAGCTATGCAATACTTGTAATGCAAGAATTGCTTATCGTATCTTTTGTTTATACATATTAAATTCAATAAGCCGCAAAATCTCAAACCTTATGAAAAGATATTACTTGTGTTTCATGTTATTGTGTGTCATCATCGATCAATATCTACGGAGATTGAAAGTTAGAAACTAGTTCAAAATCTCAAAATAAACATACAAACATTAGTCATTTCGTTATAAAATACTCGATCCTTAGCTTAAATAGAGAAAATGTAACTATATAACGAAGTCACAACCTCACATAGATAAACAAGAAGAGACAACAGAATTTTTTTCAATATTATTTTCTAATCTTCTTGAATAAAATAAGGTAGACATGATGGTGCTCATATGTCTTATAATGAACAATTGTCAAACATCTAGTGAGAAATGAAAAATGAAAAAAAAATAGGCCTTGAAATGTTTAGGCATATCAAAAGTCCAAGTAAATAGTGTGTGCTATTACATATTAAAATATATATAGTGTTAAAATACTTAGGGGTCGTTTGGTTGGAAATAAGTTATCCCAGGATAAGTTATCCTGAGGTTAGCTATCCTGGAATAACTTATCCCACCATGTATAAGGGATAACTTATCTCATCACTATGATATACATGATGGGATAAGTTATCCCAAACATGACAACCAAACAACACAAATTTTTTTTATCCATCACTATTATTTTTAATCCCTTATACCAAACGAGCCCTTATAGTCTTGTTAGCATATATAAGTTAAACTCATTAAATTTCCATTGTTTACCTGAAATGAAGTTTAATTTGTTGCTTCTTTAAAGTCGAAGTTGGATTCGAAATTTGAATTTGATAACCAAACGAATTATACTTTTAAAGTTATGGATTCATATATTTTCATGACCTAACTCCATGCATTATCCACTTTTGGCTTAGTTCTACACCAAGTTTTTCATGATTCTCAAATTACTTAACTAATCACTAGGTCAAGATTTTTCCATTTAGGCTTTGATAAGCGGATATATTCAATAATATATTGATGAGAAATAGTAATACATGTACTCAATGGAATAGTCAAGTAATGTGAAAGTTGACTCGAATAGTAGTGCTAAAAAATTACTCGTAATATTAAGCTTAAGAAAGATACACCCACATGACATAGCAAGTAGTCTCAAACTATTATATGTAGGAGCGTGGAACTCTTTAACAAAAAGTCGAGAGAAGTGTTGAAAATATTCATAAACTTGGTGAGAATTTAGGAGTGTATTTCACTCTTGTTACAAAATCGGGGGTGTATTTATGTTCAATTAGTCAAGTTTATCAGTGTTTTAAGATTGTCAATAATTTAGAGATAAAATTAATAATTCACATCGCTAATTTAGAAATGTTTTCAATACTTCATATATTATAAAATTAATAATTCATACCGATTTAGGAGTGTTTTTTATATTTAGTCTAGGCCTAACCCATTGGTGATCCCCTAAAGTTGACACCATATTTCACTTAGACACCTTAATAGGGCGATGTTCATTTTAGACACTTTATGTAGGTCCTTCTGAGTCATTTTGACACTTTTTGCTTACATGGCATAATGAGTGTATCACACTCATTGCTGGGCTCGTGAAATGGTTCTTTAATTATTTTTTTTCATCTTTTTCCCCATTTCCAGCCACCATTTTACCCAAGTTAAATTTCAGTCATTGTGAATGAACAAAATAACGGAGTGAATTTCTGTAAACTAAACTAAAAAAAAAGTTGAACTAGCAAAAATCTTCCATTTACAATCAAGCTATTTATTAGGTTAAAAAAAAACGATCATACTTTTTTTTTGGTATAGAAATGGTTTGTTTTGCAAAAGGTATTTGGAGTAGGAGGCGACGTGTGGTGGTAGGGGGGGGGGGGGGTATTCAGGAGGAGGCCTGGGTTTTTCTTTGTTGGGGAAGGGGGGGATTTTGATGCCCCGAGGGGTGGGGTGGTCTGCAAAGGGATAGGGGAGCCGTTGTGGTGGTTGGTGGGGTGGGGGGTGGATATTTGGAGAAGACAAACCTTGGGGGTGGGGGTTTGCTTTTATTGATTGAAATTTTATTTTATTTTCTAATTATTTGGGTCATGTGTCATTAATTCATCGGTCATTTTTTATTTTTACTTAAAATTAATTATTTTAAAATTACTTTTGATGCAAATGACAAATGTCGTCATTTAGTTCATCACTTTATACGTCATTCGCGAATATAATACACACACATTATATACTTTTGCTGATATTAAAAAAGGTGTCAAAATAACACAGCGAGACCCTAAATGAGGAGTCTAAAATGAACATCGCTCAGTTAAGATGTCTAACCAAAACATGATGCCAACTTTAAGGGATCACCGATGGATTAGGCCTTTAGTTTATTAAAACCGATCATCTATTTTCCAAATAAGCAAAAAGTAAAAGATGAACACAGAAAATATACACACTTGAATGATTGATAAGGATATATATATGGCCCAATTGGATTTGAAAAATAATTGAAGTTGTATTGGATTTTACCTCCAATTGCATTACCCACCAAAAAAAAAGAACAGAGCTCTACAGAGCACACAAAAATGGCGGAAAATAGCAAGAAGTTGCATATTGCAGTATTTCCATGGCTAGCTTTTGGTCATATGATTCCGTATTTAGAGCTTTCAAAGCTCATAGCTCAAGAGGGTCACAAAATTTCATTCATTTCTACCCCGAGAAACATTGATCGTCTCCCACAACTTCCACCAAATCTCGCCCCCTTCTTAAATTTCATCAAAATTCCTCTGGCCCACGTCGAAAAGTTACCAAAAAACGCAGAATCCACTATTGATTTACCTTATGAGCAAGTCAAGTACCTCAAACTTGGGGTTAATACCTCAGATGGTCACTCAACTATCCACTTTTGCCTCAGAAAGTCACTCAACTTTTAATTTTCACTAAAAAGTCACCATGTGAGTGACTTTCTGAGGAAAGACCGGATAGTTGAGTGACCATCTGAGGTATTAACCCCTCAAACTTTGCTCAAGATAGACTCAAAGAACCCATTGCTAAGTTTCTCGAAGAATCAACTCCTGATTTTATAATCTTCGATTTTGCTTCTTATTGGGTTCCTTCAATTGCTTCAAAATTCAATATATTGAGTATATAGCAAGAGTTAATGGAAAATGGAGGGAAGATGAAAAGAGAAGAACATAAAAAGTTGGGAACTTGAAAAGTCCTCTTATGCTTTAGTAAAAGGCATTTGTCCCTCATCGGTGGAGGAAAGAAAAATAGAAGAGTTTAGATAGAGAAACACTTCTATTAATTGTTAAAAGGGTTGGAAAGAGAGAACCCCCTCACGTCGTCGTCGCTTGGCTTTGGCTTTGGAAAATGATTGATCGAGAGATTATTTTGTGGACGAAGTTCGTTTTAATTATTTATTTAATTAATTAAATTAAATGGCCAAAACGTTTCACGTTTCAATCCGACTCGGATCCACGCGCGACCCATTTTATTTAGATTTCCCTCCGCTGGAAATGACTTTTCTGAAAGGTTGCAACTTTCAGGAACAGTTATGACCGTTTGAAAGGTTGCAAACTTTCATTAATGGTCGTGTGGATTCTGAAAGGTTGCAACCTTTCGGAACCAGTTCCTCTTGGCTATAAATACCATTGATTCTTCAGACTTTTTCCTTACGAATTTTTTTGATTTCTTCCTCTTCTTCTGCACAAAGTTTCTTCGTGTACTTTACTGTTGCTAAGTGGTTCGCAGACACCAAAAGTTTTGGGTATTAGTACATTGGTGATTGAGATCATTCTATCTTGGGAGGACATATTCCAAATCAAACCTCGAATACTAGAGGGGAATAATTTCCTTAAGAGGACACTGTGCATTCAGTGGGCTTGATCTTTTCTATTCTGTTTTTCCAGATTCTGGTACATTGTTACAAATTTTAGTTTCTGAATTAATTTATGTTCTTCTGTTCTTCACTGGTTCATTAAACTTTGATGACTTCGTGTTTCTGCAAAGTTTATTGGAATCAGTACTACTGGTTTTTTAAACACAGATTGGTAACACAATATTTCCACCGATTATTATTTTAGCATATTCATCGTTGCGGTTCTAGGTTTCACCGGACCAGTGCAGGGATTGAACAATGATTATGAAATTCGAAAGACGCCGGAGAAATACTCCGTTCCCCAAAATGGATTCCGTTTGAAACTACTGTTGCTTTCAAGCTTTTCGAAGTTTTGAGAATCTTTGAAGCTACCATTAAGGGTGAGGAAGAGAACGTTTCTGATGCTTTTCGTATGCATAAAACTCTTGAACTCTCTGATTTTGTTCTTGTAAAGAGTTGTTCGAAATTTGAATCGAAATGGTTGAAAGTTATCGGAGATATCCACCGGAAACCAACTTTTCCAGTGGGCCAACTTCCGACGACAATGTATGAAGATGATAACACGAAGATTGATGCATGGAGAGAAATAAAATTGTGGCTTAATGAGCAAGAAAAGGGGGAAGTGACTTACGTGGCATTTGGTAAGAGGCAAAATCGAGTCAAAATGAACTCACCGAGTTAGCGCTTGGGTTAGAGCTTTATGGGAAACCGTTTTTTTTGGATTTTAAGAACTAAAATAGCGCTTGGGTTAGTGCGTCACTCTTTATGTCTTGTTGTTAATTTTGCATTTAGTTAGTGGTGGAATATACGAATAGTTTATTACATTTACGAGTAAATTTAATTTATTATTTAAATTAGGCGGAATGATCTGATGGACCATTTTTACTTAGGGATCCCTTTTTACTTAACCATTTATCAATTGAACTTTTAAATTCATTAAACACAATATATCAAACCCCTCTGACCATGCTTATGTGACATTAAGAAGAAAGAGTTGGCGAGAGAGTGTAACCACACGCATGTAAAGGCAATTGAAGTAAATAATATTTTTTTAAAAAAAGTCTTCTTC